GTGGGACCACTATCTCAACTCTAGGCATTTCATTATTAAGACATGTCATAAGAGCTTTAAATTCTTATTTGAACAGAAGCTAAGACCCCAATAAAGCATATTCAACCCTAGGATTTTGAAATACATTATAAGAAGGGGCATGAAAATGTAGCATCATATGCCCTCTCTAGGATAGGATCAGCTTCTCTTACTATGATTTATGGTCATCTTCTACCAGATTAGTTAATGGCTTCTATTAAGGAGCAATGGCAAATTGATCAATTTCTCCAACATATAATTTCCCTCAAACAATAAAACTCCAACCTTCACCCTAAGTATACTTGGCATGACAATCAGCTAAAGAGAAAAGGAAAACTAGTAATTGCATCCAGTCTTGCTTCAAAACATGCTCGACTATAATTATACCATGATTTAGCTATAGCGGTCACTCAAGGGTCACAGCTACTGTTAGAAGGCTCTCAACAATGGTTTATTGGAAAGGGCTTACCAACGAAGTCAAGAGGTATGTCAGGGCTTGTGAAATCTGTCAAATAACTAAATATGAAACCATTGCCATTCTAGGGCCCCTTCCCCAAAGTATTTTTACAAATATGACCATGGATTTTGTGGAAGCACTACCCAAATCCAATGGCAAGAAGTAATCTATGTTGTGGTGGACCAACTTACTAAGTTCATTCATTTCATGGAGCTTTCCCATCCCTATGATGCTAAGATTATAGCTTAGGCCTTTCTGGGTAATGTTTATAAACTCCATGGATTAGCACAGAGTATTGTGTCTGATAGGGACCATATCTTTCTTAGTACATCCTGGTAAGAATTCTTTAAACTTCAAGGCATTTCTCTTAATCTATCCACTGCTTACCATCCTCAATCTGATTGACAGATAGAAGTGGTCAACAAATGTCTTCAGACATATTTGAGAGGCATGGCTGGAGAGTTATCCTGCACCTGACATCATTGGCTTTCTTTGGTAGAGTATTGGTATAATACAACCTTCCATTCTTCTATTCAAACTACACCTTTCCTTGCCCTTTATGTCTTACCACCCCTATTCATTTACCCTATTTTCCCCAGGACTCTCTTTTTGAAGCTGTTGATATGGTTATCCAGCTATACAGCTTCTCAAATTTCAATTATCCAAAGCTATACAAGGAATGACAACTCAGGCCAATAAGAGAAGATCTGATAGGACATTCAATGTGGGGATATGGTTTTACTCAAGCTCAAGCCTTATATGCAAAAGTCTACTAAGGTTCCATTCTAAGCTACATTATAGGTACTATGGACCCTATAAAATTTTAGATAAGATTGGTAAAGTAGCTTATAAATTGCAGGTACCTCCTGTAGCCCAAATACATAATGCATTTCATATGCCTCTGCTGAAACCTACTCACTCTAGCTTCACAGCTTCTACTGAGTTACCTGCTATTGCTAGCCTTCAACCTCCCTATCCACAAGCTATTTTCAATCGAAGAATAGTCAATAGGGGTAACTAGGCTGCTACTCAATGGCTCATTCATTGGAAGAATGCTTCACCTATGGATGCTACTTAGGAGTTTGCAAATGGAATTACAATTAGATTCCAAGATTTTAATCCTTAAGGGCAAGGATTTTCTGGAGGGGGAGGTACTGATACGTGTATAGATCTTGAATAAAGCTTCTTATTCTCAATTGTCAAAATGATACCATAGCATTAAGTGGAGCGACATCATATTGACAATTAACTTAGCTACACTAATAGAAGAAACAATGCCGCATTCGTATTGTTAGCTGGCTTATGAATTTAGGTGAGAGAATTAGTTAGATTGTTAGAGGCTACTATGGAAAATCTGTTCAGTCTTTCTCTTCTCTTCTTCTAGAATTCTCTATCTTCTCTCCCTCTTCTCTGTGTATTCTTGATTCTCGAATTTGCATATCAAGAAGAATGTTAAGAAATTAAGATAAGGAACAATCCTAGTTCAATGCATTTAAATGATTATTGATGATTTTACAATAATTACTTTTTAGCTCATTATTTTGAGGAGAGGCTCGCTACACTGCGTTCAAGGAAAATTAAGGAAAATCTTCCTACTTTAATCTTGAGTTACAAAAAATTATCACTTTTTACAAAATAGGGAAAATAATTAATTCATTCCTCGGATTTGACTAAATTAATAAACTCGTCCTCGTATTTTATCAATATTAATTAATGGTCCCCGAGATTTACTTCTGTTAAACCATTCAATCCTTCCATCCATTTTAACCTAACTTTGCCATTAAAATATGTGAAAAGACAAAAATAGCCTCCCAATTAAATAAGAAAAGATGATAATAGCCCAGATCGAGATGGAGAAACAAGCAAAAATAACTCCAAACACTTTTATATATAAACTCCAATTTTAAAATCCATATTTTTTTGTTTAATTCCAATTGGTCTAAGAAAAAGCAAATACCACACACCACGCTACAGAGCATGATTTTTTAAAAAAAAAAAAAATTCATAGAGCATGACTACTAAGCAGTAAGATCATACACACATACAGCTTCGATGAAACTGGCTACAAAAAATCAAAACAATAAAAACAAAATAGACATCATAACAGGTAGGATCATATAAAATTTTTGTTTTCAACAGATTAAAGGTAGTCTTCAGTGAAGAATTAAGGTACCCTTATTTAGAGAAATAGAGTTTCATAGACGAGCCTCCAGGATATTGAATTCATCAGTAAGCTCCTTCCCAGGAGCAGGAATTCCTATAAAAAATTGAATCTATGTTTTACAAGCCCAAAAAAGAAGTAATTATATGCAAAATGTCTCCAAAAAGGCATCCCTTATAGAAGCAATAAAAGATTGAACAAACCAATTTATCAAAAAGCTTGACAATTAAAAAAAAAAAAAAAAAAAAAAAAAAAAAAAAAAAAAAAACCATCACCACCAAGTTAACCTCGGGAATAGATTATGAAATCTTCTCATGAAAAAAGACATGAATTTCTGACCTTTCGCTTCACAATCACCTTTCACTTACTTTTCAATTCTTTCAAAATCAATAAACACGTGTTCCTGTTTGGTTAAAGTCGCACTCACCCACGTCTCTGTGTTTGCTCATCTGGCCATTGAACGTTTCTTCCTCTTCAAAATGCGTTCAACTCGCTCAATGTGCGGGCTCGGGCTATGTCTTCGCTGGTGGGTTGGCTGACCTAGAGCAGGAAGAAAAAAAAAAAAAAAAAAAAAAAAAAAAACCATCACCACCAGTAACCTCGGGAATAGATTATGAAAATTTTCTCATGAAAAAAGACATGAATTTTCTGACCTTTCGCTTCACATCACCTTTCACCTTACTTTCAACTTCTTCAAAATCATCAAACACGTGTTCCTGTTTGTTAAAGTCGCACTCACCCACGTCTCTGTGTTGCTCATCTGCCATTGAAACGTTTCTTCTCTCAAATGCTTCAACTCGCTCAATGTGCGGCTCGGGCTATGTCTCGCTGTGTGTTGGCTGACTAGAGCAGGAAGAGAGTGTGCGGATGCAGAGGTTGGGTTAGTTTGCGTGGAGGCAGGATGATCGGACTAGATCTTACAGTGCATTATGGTGGTTTGCAGCGTAGAGAAGGAGTTAAGTAGACGATAATAGCCTAGGTTAATTATGTCTTTTCTTGTTTGATTGTGAAGCTATATATGTCTTCGTCTTACAAATTTTAACGGCAAAATCAGAAAAAAGCGGGTGAAATGACTAAATAGTTTAATGAAGGTAAACTTCAGAAACCGTTAATTAATATTGATAAACTATAATGACGATTTAGTTAGTTGGTTAAATTTCAGGGATGAATTAATTATTTTCCCAACAAAATATTAGAAAGTTTTACAAAATATTGAAATATGGAATTATTATTTTGTAATTCAACAATTTTATATAAAAAAAACCATTAGTTACAAAATACTTAAAAATATTATAAAATATCGAGAGGAAAAGCTATAATTTGTAATTCACCAACTTTTACAAGAAACAACTACCTTTTACAAAATATTAGGAAATATTACAAAAATAATGGGAAATAGAGCTATTATTTTATAATCCAATAATTTTACAAAAACTAACATCATTTCACAATTTTCTTAAAAATTTTACAAAATGTTGGCAATCAGAGTTATTATTTTGTAAACTACCAACTTTTTACAAATTAAAAAACGATCATCTTTGACGATATATTAAGAAATATCATTGATGATTGAAGCTATTATTTTGTAATCTCACAATTTTATAAAAAATAATACTTTTTACAAAGTATTAGAAAGTAGAAAATCTTGGTAACTTGATTTATTATTTTGTAATTGGTAATTTTACAGAAAACAACTATTTTTTACAAATTATTAGGAAGTACTATAAAATATTGACATTTAGAACTATTATTTTGTAATCCAACAACTTTACAAAAAACAACAACTTTTTATAAATTATTGAGAATTATTATAAAATATTAGTAACCAGAGTTATTATTTTGTAACCAAGCAACTTTACAAAAAAATCATTTTTTACAAGAAATCTAACAACTTAAGAGATTCACTTTATAAATATAATACTGGTTGCTTAAAAAAAATTTTCAAGTCAGTGTACCCTGTCACTATACGTGGCTCCACCACTGCTTGCAAGTTACAAGCTATGATGCTTCAACAAGCTGTTTAATGGTAAAAAAATAGAAATTTATGGATATAATAGGTCTTTCATAAATTTTAAGATGCCATAAGGTTAAACATATTAATTTTAAGGGTAAATTTTTGTGTTAGGCTATAAAATAACTATAAATTTACAATAATACAAATTCAAGTTACCTAGTTGAGAATTGAGATCTTATTCAAAATTTCCATTAAAAAAAGGCAATTCGAAGTAATTCATGGACCTGAATTCAAAAGTTGAAAAAAGAAAAAAAAAAAAAAAAGTTATATCATATTGAGATTGGCAATATTAAAGAAGATTGGACAGCCTATACTGTTTGCCTTCACAGTAGAATGAATTAATGGCCAACGATGCTTTTGTCTAGCGGCTACAATTCATATTTTATTCAAACGATTTAATGCTTTCATCCTTAGTCCATAAGCTTGTTGCCCTATAAATATTCTTCCTCATAACCGCTCTTTAGCCTCTTGAAATTTGGTGGCGACCAGAGCACAATACTTTTTCATCTCTGTAAGGTTTACTGGATTATCGTTCTTAAGAATATGTCATTTGTATATTTATGCATGTGAATAATGCTTTGTTGAATATTTCTTGGTAGATTTTGAAACAGTTACAGATAAAAAGAGGCTGATCACGATGATGATAATTGTTGATAAGCGCCAAGTCTACATACTCGCAACGATGATAAGTTATTTACTCGCTATTTTTCTCGGTATCTTCTTCTTCTTCCTTTCTCTGTATCTATTAAATCAGAGAGCAAAAGTTAGAGGACTTAACTCACTGGTTTTCTATTCTTGAGTAGAAATTTCCTTTTCCAAAAACAAATTATTAAAATATACAACTTACTAGTATAACTTTCCGATAAACAATACTTTTAGTAAGCAGGAAAATGTAGACTTTATGTCAGGAAAAAGGCAAACTAAGCAATTAATTTTACATTAGTGCTAGACGACCACGCATGCACGCAGCCTAGTTTCTTATTTAATCTTTGGATTAATGTAAAAGATTCAAAATTTTGGTCATCTTTTCATAACAATGCAGTGGTTGAAAGTGAATCAGCTGGCATTAAAAGCATAGAATTTTCCAAGGAAATCGCAACCACTGCCTCTGCTAGGAAGCTTTTGGAGTCCACTAACGGTAAAATAATCATCTCCTTCTTTCTTGTATTTGCTGTTTCTTGTATTCTTTTTTATAAGGGGAAGAAATTAATAGAATTTCACCATATCTGAAATCTTGGAACAGATAATAATGGCGATAAAAACCGAATAGGGAAATCATGCTCGAAGGATGATATAGTGATATCTCAGGGCTCAACAGCCTCACTTCCTGATGGAACTCCATCTTTCATAGTTCAAATACTGAACGTTGGTGTCTCAGGCAGTAGTATTTCGGATATTCATGTCAGTTGTGGATGGTTCAGCTCTGTTCAATTGATCAATCCTAGAGTTTTCCGGCGAATTATCTTTAATGATTGCCTTGTCAATGGTGGAGATGCTCTTGCCCCTGGCGAAACCATCTCCTTCAAGTATGCTAATAGTTTTCGTTATCCATTATCAGTTACCTCAGCTGTTTGTGACTGAAGTAAAACTAAATTTAGTATGTGATAATCAAATGCATTTTTAATATAATATTTATGTTGAAATTATATTTGATTATATTAATTTTCTACACATGGTATAAAATATATTTAAGTTATATATATATATATATATATTGTAACAGTAAACTGATGGTGATTGAATCCTTCCGCACTAGTCAGCAGTTTGTTAAATTTTTGGGCATTTTTTATTTGTCTTTGGAAATGAAATAGAAATGAGAATGAATGTATATATATTAATATATAATTTCAATTTTATTTTTAAAATAATTTTAGCATAAGCATGACCTCTCCTTCCTACTTTTATATTTACTGGTGTTTTTTGTGACTTGCGTTACATGTTGTTAATATTCGGTATTACTTATTGTTTGTATCCGTTAATTTATTCTTATTGGTATTAAATATGATTATAATTTTTCTCTAATATTCTGTAGATATTTATATAATGTAAGATATGATTAATGATATTCATATTATAGGCGAATAATAATTTTTTAAAAATTAATTTTAATATGATAGGACAATATTAAAAGTCAAGTATATTTAACGAAATAATTATAGATGATAAAATGAATAAATTATTATTAATTATAAGATTAGACTTCAATTTTTTTTAAAATGATAAGGTTAAACTTTAAATTAGCATCTGGTTTTTTTTTTTAAACTAAATAATATGATCCTATGTTATTGAGTGTTGATTTAAGTTCGTAAAAAATTTAGATATATATAAATAGATATAAATAACAAAAACATTCAAAATTTTAAAAGTGATATATATATATAACGTGTGAAACAGTATTTTTTATAGATGTATTTTTTTATATTTTGATGTTTATTTTAAAATTAAAATAATAATCTATCTTTTTAAACAATCAATATTGTAAATAATCATTGATTCATTGGTTCAAAAAGAAAGTTCAATTAGAATAATACATTAAAATAAAAATTTACGTTTAAAAAAACATAATAATATTAAAATAATATAATAATATACATTTTTAATAGATTAATAAAAAATTATTAAAAAATTATAATTTATTTATTATTAAAAATTCAAGTTATTTAATAAACTCAAACTATTAAAACTATTATCAATCGATTATCCAATGAATAAGGATATTTTAAAATTTTGAAACTTTCACTAAGATTATTATAGGTAATCTCATTATTTCTCCCTTATTCTCACTCTTAAAAATAGTATAGATACTAGTTTTTCTACAATGTGCTTTGGACGTTGATATTACTTGCTATTTACTCGTTTATAATTATTTATTTATAGCATTAAATAATATGTTATCAATTTATTTCCACATCAAAGAAGAAAAACAAAAGGTAAATAGTGTAAAATAAATTGAATGGTCTCTACTGATATAATTAATTTGTAATTTTAAACAGTTTTTTTTAGATAACCATGCTTGCCAAATAAACCATTTATGATATGTTGTGGATGTATGCAAATGATTTTCTAACTAAATCCATCTCTAAAGCTTTTATATTTTTGTTTTGGTGGTTCTGTAATAATTTTTTGGTCACCTTCTTTATCTTTCTATCATTTTGCAAAAACAAATAGAAAATAAAAAATTTATATGATGAGTAATATTATGAAAATAAAAAAAGGACGAAGGTTATTATAAATGATGCTATAAAATAATGATAATAAGTTAATTATTATAATAGCTAATATTTACTTCTCATATTTTAATAATATATACAGTTTATGGTATTATATTATATAAGAAAATTTAAATTATGTAAATTTAAATTTTTATCAAAAATTTAATTAATTGATAAGTAATATTTTTCATGAAAATTTAGTTATCAAATTATCATAATATTTTATTATTATAAATATATTCTTTTCTTAACAAGTTATTTAATTATTGATTTTTTTATATTTCATAAATGTTCCTTTTATTATTTTGTGTATGCTCTTAGATATTTCCTAATATAAACTGTTCATAATTTATAATTTACAATAAAAAAATTATATATAAAAATTAAAATACTTTTACTTGTAATGAGTCAAAATAAACTAGCACAAACCATTATTTTGAAAATCAGACCGAGCCGGCTAGTTTGATTGATTTAACCGAAAATTGGACCATATAAGAAAATGGGCAGCTTTAAAAACTGGCATAAACCAGTAAAAATTAAATGAAAATGGACTAAAATTTGACCGGACCGGCTACCAGTTCGATTTAAATTCTGGATTGTTAACAAATTGTAGGCCACTTTGGGCCTCTTAAAATTGGGCACACCGATTTATTTAGTTTTTGGAACTCCTTATTTCTACACCTAAAGTCGCAATGTATTATTTAAAATCATTAAATTGCTCCACTTAGCTTTAAACGTGAAAAATAATATTACATTTTAGTAATTAATTTTTTTAGTATTAAATTTAGTCATGTTTTATTCTTTTTGTTTAAAATGATTTATTAATTTTTTTTATTCTTTTTATAAAAGTCAAATTTGAGAATGTTTTTTTGCTACGATCCAAAATCATGGGCTGAACCGGCACTAAGGCCCAGATAAGCTTAAGAGGCTCCCGAGACTTATGGTAAGCTTAACTCACATGAATCTATTTCTTTAAGTTGATTTTAGAAACAATAAGCCCATAATATGACGTTAGTAAGTCATATTGTCAATTTATATCTCTAGCCCAACTTTAATATTTCAGATAATTTCTGTATTTTATATATCATTCACATTGTCCATAATATGGGCAAACTGGTTCATTTGTAGTCTTGGACAAGCAATTAGAAAATTCTATAGATTTATCGAATGTACACTAATAGATTTTACATGATAAATTGTAATACAAGACTCTCTAACTGTGAAGCTCGGTATATGGATGTGGATAAACTTTATGCACAATATTGTATGTTCAAATATTATCAAAAGCTGGAAATTACTACTTTAACTTTTTGGAGAAAGAAGCAGAGCTTTTCTGAACCAGTATAGTGTCTACCTCTTGAGAAAAATTTAAGAAAAGGGGTGAGTTTTCACAACTCAGTGAATAGTAATAAATAATGCATAATCCAAATGATCACACAAAATACTTTTCAAATTTATATAATGAACATCCGTCCAATCAAGTGCATGTCAGAACATCAGCACCCTTAGTTAATATCACCTTCAAGTAATCACATCAAATTGAGATTGGTCAGTGACGTACAAAATCCCGACAATCCGTCCTTAGCCTGTCCTCTTATACGTGTGCACCAGGGAGCTGATCCCCATATATGGTCAATCGGTCTAATCCTTACTTAATTCGTCCTCACATTGTTTTTCCATTCTCTCTTTCTTTTTCATTACCAACAAGAGACCACCCTGTGATTTTGCCATATCATTCATATTATATTTCATCGATGCACACAGGGGCGTCGATCTCCTATACATGGCTGCCAGTATCTGAGACCGTTCTCACAATCCCATGGTGACCGACTTCATCCTAATACCACACGCAAACAAGGCACAGTATAGTCATATCGCAAGTAATCCAATAAACTCATACATTATAATGAGTCATATAGGATCAATATGCACATATGAACATAATTATAAGGTGGATCATAATGTAAGTAATTGTGTTTTTATAATATAGTATTTAAAGAATAAAGACCGTGTATTTTATGTATACATATTTATATAATGTAAAATTAGTGGTGCATTTATGCAAAAGAGATTATACATTATTTATTATTACTCATATTGATAAAATGAGTAAGTTTTAATTTGGATTTTGACTAGCAGGAGGGGTAGACGAACTCGAATGATTTAGATAAATTACAAATATAAAGGGAAATTGCATTAACATATGACTTTCCTTAAATAAGAAATTAAAGAATTAATCTAAATCTCATTAATATATCTTATAACATTTTCCTTAAAATAGGATTTTTCACTTATTCAAGTATTAATCATTTAATTTACTTGTCGACTTTTACTCATGTAATCCATCCATCAGGTAATCAATAATTTCAATAATTTCAATATCTAACCGCCATAAATAGTAATTTTTATAATCAACTCTTAACTTATAGATTAAAATACCTTCAATCTAATCCTAAAAAATTCTCATATATTTCTACTTTATCTCAATATGATTTACTTCCTTAATGAATCACCAAACAATAAATCTTTTATACATACAAATATAAATAATTCTTTATTGATTAACTTTACTCGAAACATAATATCCTTTAGTGAAATTCGGGATTAGCTACTAAAATTAATACTTATTTTAACTTGTCATTTGAATTCATATAATATAACTCTGATTCCAAAATAAATGATACCTATCCAACAATGACTTTCCTTTTACTTAAATTAATCTCTGTCTCCAAAACAATTTGTATAATATTGAATACTTAATTTATTTCCTCATTTGGTTTATAATTCTTAATAGTTATTAGTTTAAATTAAATTAAAGAATTAATTTCTCCTCGTTAAGAACCTAAAATAAAGCAATACAAATACAACCCAATCTATGGGCAACCAGAACAACAATTTTTCATCCACCATTTTCAGTAATTTTACAAGCGATATTTATTCTGATTTTCAAATCAACTCATTAATAACTTAACAGTCTTAAATTTCAATTTCTCATAGTTTACAAATTCTTGTCTGTCTCTAAACGGTAATTCATAATCTGTTAATTTTGCTGATTACTGAAAATTAATTTTAATCAAAACTAATTCAATTCAATAACAATAATTTCTAACTTAAAATTTACATTGCATTTAACAAACTGAATTTTAAAATATGCCGATTAAAAATCAGATTTCTGAATCGGGTTCAGTGCGTAAATCTCAATGTTTTTGTCTCTCGGGCTTCGCCGGCAACTCGCCGGTCAGTAGCCGGACTGCCGCCGGTGCCGCCGTCCACTGTGGCTGGAAAGTCATGGATGCCGAGAATCGAGCACTTTCACATCATTTAGCCCAAATTTCACGTAGGAGTCCATTTTTTATGTTGGTTGGCGAGATCGGTCCTCTAATTGGCCAAAACAGGCTCAATAGGAGCATAGAACCGCCGTTAGCGTCACAATTGATCCAGGAGAAAGGAACCGCAGCTCGCCCGTGCTACAGCGCTCGCCGGAGTTGCGAGCGAGGAGAAGATGGGACGTCGAGCGGTGACCGGAGGAGGATCGACACTAAGCAGTGATCGAAAATCGCGATCGAAGCTACTACTGCATTCTCCAGAAACAGAAACAGAGGAAGAGAAGGCGAAAAGCTGGTAGCGCGACGACAAGGAGTGGTGGCGTCGCCTGGCTCAGGTGGCCCGAAAAACGGAAAGAGAGAGAGAGAGAGAAATGGGAGGTTTATTGCCACTGGGCGAAGAAGAAGAAAGAAGAATTAAGAGAAAGAAAAGATAGCAAAAGAAATTCCTCGAGTTTTCTACGTCATTTTAGTTCGGTTCGAACCGGATTCCGTCCAACCCAGTAGTTTAGTCTGATTTCCATTTGATTTATAGATTTTTTTTTTTTATCCGGTTTAAAGATTTCAAACTGGTTTAAAGATCCGGTTTAACAATAATAAAATATTTTCTTTTAAACTCATTATATAATCCCATTCGTTGAAATTAAAAGTTAAATTTTTAAAAGGAAAATCTATGAAATTAAAATTTTGGGTTATTTTATTTTTATTTGCTATCAAAGTTTTTTATCCTATATTTTCAATTTTATTTAATATATATATTTAATAATATTATATATAAAAATCCAAATGAACCATATTGAATCCAGTTAAATCCTCTGATTCAATGAATTCTTACTTTCACCAGTCTAGTTCTTAGGACATTGGCACAAACAACGTGTAATTCACGTTCAAGAAAATTATATATATAAAACTGAAAATGTGGGGGAATATTAAGATTGCTAAAAATGCCTTTAGTAAGTTTAAGGATTGACAAAAAAAATATCATTAAGTAGTTAAAAAATAAAGGTAATTCTGTTTTTAATTAGTCATATTAATTTCCTATTTAAATCAACATTATATTGGATAAAATTATACATTATGTTATATGCTACTTCCTCCATCCCATTTTGTTTGCTTGTTTTTTTTTTTTTTTTTTTTTTCTAAAATGCCTTTAGTAAGTTTAAGGATTGACAAAAAAAATATCATTAAGTAGTTTAAAAAATAAAGTAATTTCTGTTTTTAAATTTAGATCATAATTAATTTCCTATTTAAATCAACATTATATTGGAATAAAATTATAACATTATGTTATAATGCTACTTCCTCCATCCCAATTTTGTTTGCTTGTTTTTTTTTTTTTTTTTTTTGGATGTCCTTTTTTTTTTTTTTTTTTTTGGATGTCCCAAAATGTTTGCAAGATTTCTAAATTTATATATGTAAATAATTATTTTTTCCATAGTAACCTTTATAATTGTTTATTAAATGAAAAGCTTTTATTAATATCTCAATGAGTTATTAAGGGTAAAGAAGAATAAACTAACTTTTATTAACTAAATTTTTAATATGCGTGTTTTGTCAAATCATGCAAACAAAACGAGACGAATGGAGTATATAAAATATATATTAAATATAGTGAGAATATAAAATTTTTAAGGATTTTAATTTATTGGTTAAAAAATAAAGGTAATTGTATTTTAATTAGTTATACTAGGTAGATATGGTAAAAGAATAAATAAGAGTAAAAAAATCAAAATTGGAATTTTCCCAAAAGAGGTAAAGTACTACTATATCTCACATCCTAAATTGGAAAATATCTTTGTATGTATGGACGTCAAAGGCCAAAATATCGTACGACTGGGGCCAAACTAATTAGAAGTTAAAAGTATTTATATAATTAGTTCTGTATAGGAATATTTTCATAACCCAAACTAATTAGGAAAATCTAAGCCAATGTTGTAGAATACCCTCTTCGATCCTTATAAATAAGCTTTCTCATGAGCTCCCTAACATACAACCGTTGTTTCATCCAGCAAGGTATATCGGATTTTCTGTCAACAGCTGCATATCAAAGAGGCTAACAATGGCGATGATAAGAGGAGATAAGAACCAAGTCTGCGCAGTTGCTTCGTTGCTCGCTATTTTCTTTGGTATATATCTTCTTCTTCTTCCTTCCTCTATATCTATTCTTAAATCTCTGGATTAATGGCTAAAAGATTTAAATTTATTCATAACAATGCAGTGATTGGTATTACTGAATCTGCTCGCACTGAAAGCTTTGTCTCTGCTAGGAAGCTATTGGAATATTCCATTCAAGGTAAAACAATCGCTTTGTCTCTGCTAGGAAGCTATTGGAATATTCCATTCAAGGTAAAACAATCATCTCTTTATTTCTTTAATCTGCCTTTTGTATTTGCTATTTCTTTTTACTGAAAACTAATGGAGACAAAAAAAAAAAAATGAATAGAAAAATCATGCTCCAAGAATGACATAGAGATATCTCAAGCTTCAATAGAACCACTCGGTAATGGAATTCCGGCTTTCATAGTTCAAATACAGAACAACGGTGCCTCAGGTAGAAGAATTTCCGATATTCATGTCAGTTGTGGATCGTTCAGCTCTGCTCAATTCATCAATCCTAAAATTTTCCGGCGAATTGTCATAAATGATTGCCTTGTCAATGACGGAAACGCTCTTGCCCCTGGTGAAATCATCTCCTATGAGTATGCTAATAGTTTTAAATATCCGTTAGTAGTTAGTTCAGTTGTCTGTCTTTAAAATAAAATTATATTTATTATTTGATAATAAAATATAGTCATATATATTTTTAGTTTTATATTTAAATATATATGGTCAATTATTAATTATCTTTATGAGTTAGCAAACTAAAATTTCACAATTTGATTGCTTATTGATCTTTTTTCTTTTTTCTTTTTTTTTTTTTTTCTTTTTTTTTTTTTTTTCCATTGAGAATTGGGAAAAAGAAGAAATGTATGCCTCTTATTTTGTTTTTTTTTTTTTTTCCATTGAGAATTGGGAAAAAGAGAATGTATGCCTCTTATTTGCAATTTAAGAAAAGAACAGTAAAGAAAAAGAAAGAGGAAAAACAAGTAAACAGGAAATCTAATATCCATAATCATAAGTGAACTCAGTAACACCAACCATAGCAGAGAGCACCTGAGAAACAATGTAAAAGCTACCCCCAAAAATAAGAATAACTAGAACAGCAGAAATAGGGTTCTTAAGCAATTCAACTATAGGCTGCAAAATGGTATAGGATCGGTTCGGTTGACTCGAATTGGATTGTTAAATACTTGTACCCACTCCATTTATAAATGGATCGAGTTCGGTGGATTTGGGTCGAGTCAAAATGGAAATTCTTAAATAGAAATTTGGTTTGAAGCATGCTTTAAAAAATACTGGTTCAATATATAAATTCAACAATGTACTTTAGGTAAAAAATTATGTGGTTCTCTTAACTTTTATTTTGACCCATTGAACACTTCAATTTATAAAATTGTATCAATTAAATATCTCAACTTACAAATGATATTCTATTGAATACTCAAACTTTTAAAATTAGATCAATTAAACACTTATTAGATAGTTGAAAAATATGAAAATTATTGTTCAAAATATTATACTAAATACATATTAACTTAATATCTTGCATATAAATGTCAAAACACCAAAAAAAATATTACCATTGGTATAAAGAGGGATACAATGTTAGCAAAATTCGCAACTTAAAAGATATAATAGATCAATCGCAAAAATTTAGGATGCCATAGATTTTTGCCGTAAAGTATTGGGACATATTTATGTATGTAGCCATAAATAACATTTGCTACTTTGTTTTAGGCATTATGGATGTAGAGCTTCTATTGTCACAAATAAAAATTTTTAGTAAATAAAATGCGGAAAACTATAATTAAAAGATATCATATTATAGCATAATTAGATAACTACACTAAAAAATTTAATATATATATATATTGCAACTTTAATTTGATGCGCACATTATATTAATTCTTTTTTAATTTCCTACATTTAGCATTTCAAATCACTATATACCTAGAATTTTTATATTATATCCTCACTCCCCAAGTAGAAGTAACGTAATTATAAAGAAATATTTAAAGACAAAGTAATTATAAATGATAGAATAATTATAAAGAAATATTCGGATATGCAGAAAACCACAGTAATGACCAGTTGGTTGGGATTGAGTTGTTGGAATTTCTTCTTCCTTAACCAAAGGTCTCGATTTCGAGCCTTGGACATAGAAATTACTACGTTAGAAGAGTTGCTTCCTATATGGGCCCTGCAGTACTCGAGCCAGACATAGTCAGAGCTCAATAGGCTTTCGGGTACCGGTGGTTATATATCAAAAAAAGAAAACCACATTAATAGCATAACTGCCCAAGCATCAAGTAAGATATATTGATACTTATTTATTAATTTTAAAGATTTAAAATCATGTAAAAAATAGTTTTTTCAAAGTGTGTGTATGTATGTATGTACGTATGTATATATGCATGACCTAATGCGTAAACTTGACCCTTTATTTTCAACGATTATCTTGTAGCCTTCTGAACTTTGTGGAAAATCCGTCATGACCTTATACTTTCACATTTCAATAATAATCATGCCCCTTGTCAAAATAAAATGTGCAACTGTAGGATCATAATTGAACCCCTTTAAAGATATTTTATTTTAGTGAAGGGCATAGTTATTACTGACAATGTAAAAATATAGGATCATTATTAAATCCTCAAAAATTTCAAGGCCATGAAAATAATCGGCCAAAATTCAAGGTCAAATTTAATACTAACCATGTTTGTAGAACTAAGAGGCTTAGGCCATAGGAAGTAAAGATTTTGGCCCTTCTAATATTTTTCCTGAAATTGAATTTGTGTTCTCATCCTTACCAAGACTAATACTTCCCACCTAAACCGAACTTTATATCTATTTTACAAATTGTATATAGTTTAAAACTTGTAAAAATTACATAGGATTGTACTTTAATTGGAGTGCGCTCCTCAAACTTGTATAAACAGTGGTGATACTATAGTAAATGGCACAAAATCTAGGATAAATCAATTTGAATGTACCAACATTCACTTTATTTCTCTCCTCTTCTCTCTCTCCCTCTTTTTCTCTCTCCTTCTCTATATATCTTTATTTTCTCTCTTTCTTCTCACCTGGTCCTTTTAACCTTCTGTCTATTTGTATCGTCTCATCTCTTTCTTTGGACGAACAGTCCACAACCCATTAATCCGCGCACTATCCAACCCACTCCCTAGGTTAATAGAAGCAAGAATCAAGGGATCTAGTCCGATCAATTTTAGACCGAACACCATCCCAACCAATACATTATTGATATTTATCAAAAAATTTCAATAAGGTAATTTACTTTTCAATTTTATTTCTAATAAAGGTAATTTACTTTTCAAGTTTTATTCCTTATGGAATTAGGATAGAAAATAATTAAATTTTAATACTTTATGAATTAAAATTTATCTATAATCTATATCTATCTACAATCCATAATGTGTATAACAGTGGAAATGAGTGAATATTTGGATTGCCAAAAATGCTCCTAATAAGTTTAAGGATTAATAAAAATATTATTAAGAATTTTAATTTTATTGGTTAAAAATAAAAATAATTCAATTTTGATTGGTTATATTAATTTCCTATTTAAATCTAAATTCTATCGGATAAAAAAAGAAATTATATTATATATTACATAAGGTATATATTAAATATGATAAAAACCTAATATTTTTAAGGATTTTAACTTTATTTAGTCGAAAAAAATAAAGGTAGTTTAACTTTAATTGATTATATCTTACTATACAAGGTACATATTAAATATAGTGAGAATATAATAAGGTTTAATTATTATTTTTAATGCATGACTTACACCAAAAAAGCACAACAAGTTGTATAAAAAAAAAAAAAAAAAAAACACCATGAACCTAGAGAGGAGAAATATAATGAAGGGTTAATATATATAATTTTAAATCGCATGACTTACACAAAAAAAGCACAACAAGTTGTATAAAAAAAAAAAAAAAAAAAAAAAACCCTAGCCATCTCTCTATTTGGCTCTCTCTTTTTTGTGTTCATCTAGATTTTATTTCTAACCATCGCCAACCATCTTCTTGGATCACGGTGGTTTCTTTTCGTCCCTCTCTATTATTTCCTTTTATTTTGTTTAGTTTTTTTTTTAATAATTTCTAAATCTATGATCGTTTTGAATAGAATTTGGATTTAGTCCCTCAGATTATAATAGTTGATAGATCTTGAGTGTTTTTAGTGCCCTATTAGTGTGGTTGTTAATTTCTCTCATTTCATGAGATTGTTCCCCTTTATTGAGGAGTTTTTATCTAAATCTTTTATGTTTTGAGCAGTTCGAAAGACAAGATGGATTGATGTTTGCTTGTGGTTGGAAACTTCAGATCTTAAAATTTGGGTAAGTTTCTTTTACTACTAGAACTTAGCAGTGCGGTCTGTTCCTCCATTAAAGTTTGGTATATTAAACTCTTTTGTGAGTGTCAATTGTAATAAGTTTCCGAAAAAATAATATTCGGGACAATATCGTGGAAGGTTTCTTTTGTCATCCTATTTAATAATGGACCAGCTTTTATACGGAAGATTAACTTCTTCTGCCAAGATCAAGAACATCTCCAAATAGAAGATTTCAATTTTCTATATTTGTATTTCATATTCGTATAGACATATTATGATATACTCAATTTATATTCATTATTAATGAATTGTTAAGTTTGAAAAAATTATTATTATTTAATAACTTTTTAATTTAATTGGTTATAATTATTTCCTACAAGTAACTTTATTTAATAACTTTTTAATTTAATTGGTTATAATTATTTCCTACAAGTAACTTATTCTATAAAGAATAAATATAATTTATTCTTATTTATTAAGAAATATATTATAAGATTTATTTTTGTTAGAAAATAGAAAATAAAACTTAATAGGAATATATTAAAAAAATAAAAAATTATAATATAACACATTATATTAGCAAACCAAATAATAAATTAAAAGAATTTTTCTTTTCTCAAAATAAAAGGTAATCATAAAATTAATTCTATGCTCACAGTCTTTAACAAAAAAATAAAAAAAAATTATAAATGATGCACTAAAATAATTATTAATATATTAATTATAAATGATGCACAAAAAATTAAAAAACTTATATATATAAATTAAATTTCTTTAACTTGCAATGAGTAAAAATCAATAAATGCAAACAACATGTTATTATATGGTAAGAATATATAAAAGTAATTTAATTTTGATTAGTCACATTAATTTTCTGTTTCAATCTAAATTATATTATATACAATATAAGATATATATTAAATATATAAGAATATAAGATTTTTATGGATTTTAATTTATTGGTTGAAAAATAAAAGTAATTTTATTATGGATTTTAATTTATTGGTTGAAAAATAAAAGTAATTTTATATTAATTAGTTATACTACATATAGATATGGTTAAAAAATAAGTCTAAAAAATTAAAAAAAAAATTCCCAAAAGATATCTCACATCCTAAATTGGAAAATATCTCTATGCATGGATGTCAACGGCGAAAATATTGTACGGTTGTGGGCTAAACTAATTAGGAGTTAGAATTATTTATTTACATAATTAGTTCTGTATCGGAATATTTTCATAACTCAAACTAATTAGGAAGATCTAAGCCAATTTTAATTTATAAATATGCTTTCTCATGAGCTTCCTTACTCACAACTTGAACTCTAAGCACGCCATTGTTTCATCCAGCAAGGTATATCGGATTCTCTGTCAACAGCTGCATATCAAAGAGGCTAACAATGGCGATGATAAGAGGAGATAAGAACCAAGTCTGCGCAGTTGCTTCGTTGCTCGCTATTTTCTTTGGTATATATCTTCTTCTTCTTCCTTCCTCTATATCTATTCTTAAATCTCTGGATTAATGGCTAAAAGATTTAAAATTATTCATAACAATGCAGTGATTGGTATTACTGAATCTGCTCGCACTGAAAGCTTTGTCTCTGCTAGGAAGCTATTGGAATATTCCATTCAAGGTAAAACAATCCTAGGAAGCTATTGGAATATTCCATTCAAGGTAAAACAATCATCTCTTTATTTCTTTAATCTGCCTTTTGTATTTGCTATTTCTTTTTACTGAAAACTAATGGAGACAAAAAAAAAAAAATGAATAGAAAAATCATGCTCCAAGAATGACATAGAGATATCTCAAGCTTCAATAGAACCACTCGGTAATGGAATTCCGGCTTTCATAGTTCAAATACAGAACAACGGTGCCTCAGGTAGAAGAATTTCCGATATTCATGTCAGTTGTGGATCGTTCAGCTCTGCTCAATTCATCAATCCTAAAATTTTCCGGCGAATTGTCATAAATGATTGCCTTGTCAATGACGGAAACGCTCTTGCCCCTGGTGAAATCATCTCCTATGAGTATGCTAATAGTTTTAAATATCCGTTAGTAGTTAGTTCAGTTGTCTGTCTTTAAAATAAAATTATATTTATTATTTGATAATAAAATATAGTCATATATATTTTTAGTTTTATATTTAAATATATATGGTCAATTATTAATTATCTTTATGAGTTAGCAAACTAAAATTTCACAATTTGATTGCTTATTGATCTTTTTTCTTTTTTCTTTTTTTTTTTTTTCCTTTTTCTTTTTTTTTTTTTTTTTTCCATTGAGAATTTTTTTTTTTTTTTTTCCATTGAGAATTGGGAAAAAGAGAATGTATGCCTCTTATTTGCAATTTAAGAAAAGAACAGTAAAGAAAAAGAAAGAGGAAAAACAAGTAAACAGGAAATCTAATATCCATAATCATAAGTGAACTCAGTAACACCAACCATAGCAGAGAGCACCTGAGAAACAATATAAAAGCTACCCCCAAAAATAAGAATAACTAGAACAGCAGAAATAGGGTTCTTAAGCAATTCAACTATAGGCTGCAAAATGGTATAAAGAGCGCCTGTACTTACTGTTAGTGCATAAAGTGCATATCTTCTTACATTCTCCCAAAATTCTTCCACTAGTGGCCCTTCAGGTCCAAAAGCCAGTGCCTTGTGCTCATCAAAACCCATCAAAAACAAGAATAACCCTACAGAAACAGCTCCTACAACCACAAACCTGAAATTCCCATTTGGAGAAATCTGATGAGAGAGGCCCTTGTCTTCTGAAATGATGGATTTGGTTAATTTTTGTGGGTATTGTCCTAATTTTCTTGGGACAGTTGATTTTGAAGGTATTGTTGGATATTTCAGATTGGATTTGGTTTTGATGGGAATGAGAACTGGGGATTTTGGAGCTGGGTTAGTGAGATTTGTGTATCCTATGAGGTGAAATTGGGATTTTAGCGTAAAAATTATCATTTTCTTGCTCTCTGCAAAGCTTCACTGGCTCCTCAAGCGGTTGAATAATAGAAAGTGTGTGTGGCTGTTCTTGTGCATCTGTATCTTATCTTAACCAGTTATGTGATGGCACTTTTTAATCGGCCAATGTTTATTTTTGTTATAAGTGTACATGCTTTATTTATTATATAAAAAATTTTTAGCTGTTTGTACTCTTAATAAATCTAAAATTTATTTGTAAATTCTATCAAATTGTTACTGATTTTAATGTAATTAGATTGACTTAGTATAAATATAGCATATTTTATAGAATTAAATGAGATATAATTTATATTAAAAATGAAAATAATTAAATTCTATAAATATACGTGACAAACTCTAGGAAAAGTTAAGGTATGAAAGTTCAGATATTATACATGACTAGGAATGGCAGTTTTCCTCTACCCCGCGATCTGATTCTATTCGATTTTGATGGGTTCGAACAGAATAAACAGGTTTGATACAATTTCAGATAATATTTTTAGTATATATATCGAATTCAGATAAGATACAGTTTATTATATATATTATATTCAGGTCAGGTATGGTAATCTTTATCCGTTAAATTAATATTACAAAAATATTTAAAATAATGATTTTTTTAAAAGAAAATTATGTATATACACTTTTTTAATCATAATTAACGCTATGATTATATTTAATACTTATATTATATTTTTTATTAAGTCAAATACAATTCTTACTTTTTATTTTTCAAAAATAAAAATAAAAAATATTTTTAATGCTAGACGGATATTTAAACATGTTCGATATAAAAACGAGTAATTATAATCAGACCCGGCATTAAAAATGAATTTCTAAACAGGTTCAAAATGAATTCGAATACCTAATCTATAATCAATTTCGGGTGGTGCATTTTAAGCTATATCCAACCCGTTTCCATCCCCATAAATGACAATACACATTGATAAAGTGATCATGTGAGGCAGCATTAGGCACGGGGGACGACTGACAAGCTACCATCTTGTATAGCTCAAGTGCCCAGCCCAATTAGGCTTTCGGACCAAAAAGAAAAGACTTTCGGACCAAAAAGAAAAGACTTGACCTTCAAATGGAAGATACTAAGAAAGCATTTACATTTTTTCTTTTGCACATTAAGCCTTCCACATCAATGGAGGAGATAGAAGGTAGCTACTCATAGGCAATTAAGTATATTTCTCATTTCTTTGGGAGAAAATGAATATTGTTTAGGTTCAGAAAAAAAATGGGATGTTATGGTTGAGCAATCCCTTTCTTCACAAGTACATCATAGACCCTGTCAACTTTACTGGATTCAAGCTTGAATAGCGGATGTGCGTCCGATTTCTTAGTGACATTGCCGCTGAAGATTTCTTTTGTCATCACCTCTTGCATCTTAAGATAGAGAGGTGGAGGCAACTTAATTTCGTGACACAGGCGTTTCTCCTGCAAAACAGTTGAAATAGGCAGCTTTCAATAGGAAACCAACAGAGAAGAAAGTGAGAATGCCAGATAACTTAAAGCGCGAACAGGAAAATATGAATCGAGACAGTAAAATGCCAACTTTGATCTTCTCAACATTCAAGGACAGTTTAATTGTTTCGATGGCAATTAATCTATTAGCAATAGGTTTTAGTAGAGCATATGCAAGTTCATAGGTTACTCTCATCGGATCCTAAAAGAAGCCATACCGGTTAACCAGACATCAAACTTCACAAGTAAGAAAACAGGCCGTGCATGACATCATTCAACAGTTTTTTCCTTTTTATCAATCAAAATATGGAAGAACAGATTGTCCACAATAAGATGTTGATCCTTTTTTTTTTTTTTTTAACAATACATCAAAAAACAAGATAGCCACTATACTTGCACGTTGATGAAAAAAAAAATTCAGAAACTAGGAATCTAATACTTACAGCTTCAGACAGTAACTGAGTTTCATAAAAGCCAAGTGCATCAAGTGTTTCATAGCCTGTCCCCTGTCCGCCCGGTCTTGCATTCGAATCCTTGCCAAGAGACTCTGAAGCCATGAAAACGTTTGGACCTCCCTGGTTGCTTGGACCAACCTGAGAACTTTCTTTTGCTCTCTGAGAACTTTCTTCAGCTTCCCTTTTCCTTTTTTCTTCACGATATCTATCTGCCTCAGCAGATGTACGACAACCAGCAGCTCGAGCTTCCTGCATAGTTATTACCAATAGGCATGGAAAAAAAGAACATCAAATTTACTCCCTCCTGTTCCATGATTGTTGAAAAAACCATTGTAGAAAAAAAGAGTTATAATTAACTAAATTACCCTTTTATCAATTTTTTAAATTATTAATGCTTATTTCGCAGAGAAACCAAGAGACAAGTGTGAGTTGAGAAAAAATAATTATTGCCTCCTTAATTTCATAACACGTCACATAAAGTAGGACAAAAAAAATTGAAATTGCATCACTTTTAATGAGATTGAAGGAGTAATAAAATCAAGCATAATATATTAATTATGGATGTCAGACACATTTAAAATGCAACAAGTTCTGCATTTAATATCATCTGCATTAGTTATGAGTGGAGACAAACACTCAGTAGCAGTCCCAAATCAATGAGAATGAAGGAAAGAGATTTATATAGCTGACCCCATTTAGATTCAGGTTGAGTCTCAGTTGAATTCAGTAATAAAAACAGTAATATTAATAAAAACATAATTAGTAATAATAATATTTATTTCCAAAGGAGAGTGAAGGAATCAAGCAAAAAATGTCAGTTGCAAACCAGGAATCAATCTCATACCTTAAGTTCTTGAATTCTTTTCAGAGTTCTATGCTCTGCTATAACAGTCTGAAGCAAATCCTCATGCTCTTCCTTGGAATGAAAACGCATGAAGACATCATAGCGTCGACATAGTGCCCTCTCTTCAGGAGATAAGTCCTTCTCAAAAACATTTGGATATAACAAATTTCTTTCTAAAATGAAATCCTTTCTACGTTTTCTCTCATCGAGCCTGCCAATGTCCACATGAAATAAACAATCATTACAGACATGTTAAGGTATGAATCAGGTATCCAGGCAGTAAATGTCTTCCAACAGGCAACAGTCAAAACATAAACTAATCAAAAACCAGAAGGGCTTGACAATAAATCTATTAGCAATCAAGCAGATTATACAAATAATACATATCATCAATAATATCTGCAGCGGGATTTTGTCGCCATTCCTCTTTGAGTTCATGCACTTTTACATTAATGCTTACATGCAGACATGCATGCATGCATATACAATTCTCATCTGAATAAATGCTTTATAATAGCAATACTTCAAACCATTGTGCCACACGACATTTAATCATTTTAGTTCATAACAAATTTAATAGATTTTTTTAACGCATTGTGAGAAATAGGATTTAAAAAACAAAATTCGAATGAGAAGCCCCGTTATGGGGCTGCCTAGGTTTTAAATATTCAAAGAAAACTGGCAGAGCTGTAAAGAGCATCATATGGAATTCTGTTAATTATATAAACAATTGAGAGTGAGGAAGGTAGCTTAAATTGTTAATGCTACCTCTTTGCATAGATTCGCAGCACTCGCAACTTCAGCTCACGTTCATCTTCTGTATCAGTATCTTTGAACTCCATTTCAGCGAGCAACTGCTCAGCATCATTATCATATTCTGGATCAAACTCCTGCCTTTTGGGGTTATAACCACTCGACTCGATTAAGGATCCCTCATTTGCAGAAGAATTTGATTTTTTTCCCTTAAAACCTATTTCTGTTTGAGGATCTGCCAACAAAATGATAATATAGTGGAATAATGTCAACCTTTTCACAGTCATCTTAAAGCGTGTCACCACCAAGTTGTGTGCATCATGCATGTAAACAAAATTAAATTAGCAAGACATCATTATCTATCTGCCTTATTGGAGTCTGCTCAACCATCAATATTGTTTAATTAACCAATGTTCCAACAAACAACTTTTAACTTTAAGATAGACTAACATAAGTTGAAGTAAATAATTTTTGCTGACTCTAGCTGCTTGCTAGCAAAATGTTAAAATGTACAAGGCAATTAATTAAGATATTAAATAAAATAAGCTGAAATTGCCATGATTATTGTTGCTAGTGCCTAAAGCATCGCTACATCATTATCATCATCAACAACATCATCAAACAATTATAAAAGCTACACAATAAACGTCATATATCAGACCTTCCACTTTAATGACACTGGGGCCACCTTTAACGCGGGCTATTTTGGATGCCTTCTTAATAGCAGCTGTTGCTGCTGCATTTATGCTATTAGGATAAACCCCAGATTCGACGTCTGAAGTTTAAGAAAACAAGCAGAGAGTAGATCATAGCCATGAGATAATTTGGATTTCATTTTGAATGAAACACCATAAGCTATTAACAATTATATAACACCTTACCTCCATTTAAAGTAGATAGTAACCGGCCAGAAGCACCACCTTTATGCATGTCTTCAACTCTGATTAATCAAGCAAACAGGCATAAGGTTTACAGATGGAAAGATATAAAGCAAAATGTAGAAGAGCAATAACCATACTTGACTCTGGAAGAAGGAGAAAATGGAGACTCCTCCTTCAAGGTATGTTCCCCTAGCATAGAAGATCCTAAAAACAAGGAAACTTATGATGAGCAATCTCTTAAAAGAGCTTTAGCACTATGATGATTACAAACATACTAACAGAAAACAAGAGAAAAGGCAGGGGATATATGTAAATGTTGTCACAAAACCTTTTTTGTCCTCTCCGTGCCCTTTGGCCATAGCAAGAAGTTCCTTTCTATTTTTCCCAACTACGTGAGACATGTCCTAGAAAATGTGAAATATTCAGTGAAATTACTTGTGTGAAAGCATATCTTCAAATGATAATTGACATTTTCAGAGTATCTCACCGGGAGAGGGAAAAATGGGGAGTTCATATATATATTTGTGTAGTGTTCAATACACATTTCTTTACTCTTTGTCCCTACATGCTCGGCAACTTCTGCCCAGTTTCCCAGTCCATACATTTCAATTCCCTAAAATTTAGAAAATTCCACACAACAAAGATAACACATAAGTGATGTTGTTATACGTGACAAATATTCAGCCATTTGTAATGATTTAAAAAGAAGAAATAGGTATATCTTAAAAAAAGAACCTCAAGGAGTAGTATTTCATCATCTGCATTCCAGTCAGGGCAAATAAGCGGGAAAGATAAATTGTCCTGTAGAGATGAATATTCATCAAAACATATCGTTGTCATCATTGTAATATAGCAGCTTCAAGCCAATATTTTATGAGTGCTGAAATAAAATAAACCACAAAAAAAAAAAAAAAAGGAGAAAAACAACAAAAGGAAAAACCTGTTTCGTACTACATATTAGGCACTTCAAGCACACTACAGTTATCAAATCTTGAATATATAATGGAAAAGTCAAAAGGAACACAACTTACACATAAAATTATGCCTATCAACTTCAAATATTTAGGTTACATTGAAATATCACTCCACAAAGTTGATTTCTATGTTATAAGAAGCACAAAAAACATAAACATGAACACTCCAAAACTGGGCAAGTTATCAAGAAGCAAATCACTAACCATAACCCTATAAGGGTGATTGCTTTTATGAGGTGTCACCTCAGCTCCAACAGAGAAGCACTCTATACATAGGTCAAAATCAGGGCACATTGCACACTTGATACGAATCTTCCCAGTTATATCTTTGTTGCAATAATTGCAATGGTATAAGGCCCTTTTCCCCTCACCTGTTCCCTGACCTGGTTCCAAATTAGAAAATAAAGACAGACAAAAGAAAGGGTCATGACTCGTGACTTATAGAAGTTGAGAATTCCAGCATCAATGGTTTTGACATGTTTAAAAACAAATCATCAAGGCACATTTATCTAGCAGCATAAAACAACATAATTTTCTTAATCTCCATTAAATTACAATGTTCACACACCCATGTTACAGGATGAATTGAATTCATTGTTCACGGTAATAATTCTATTACAAATTAGCAATATAAAACAATGTTAAAGGAGAAAATTTCCCCAAGACTAAAGTTTTAAAATATGATGTTTAATCACATTCTGCTGTAGTTAATTATCCATAATTCTCCATCGAAAATATACTTCTTCAAGTTTAAAATTTTGGCATTACCTGCTGATGAAGATTCTAAGTTTTCTCCACTAGCAGCATTCTTCTTTCTCCTTGATCTACATTGCCAAAAGCAGGTAGGCATTCAGGTGAAAAAATATATTAATAACCAATAATTAAAATATAAAAAACTTAACTGCCAGTGTACAGATAGACGTAATTAAAGACCAGCATATCAAATTAAGCTATCAACATTGGTTACTCCAAATTATGAATAAAAGCTTCATTATTTTTCCCTTTTTTTTTCATTTTCTTTCCCAGATTTAGGATCATAGTTAACGCGCATTTCTATTTATCAGCTCTAAAAACAAATAAGCAAACCGGGACACTTCGAAAACCGAACCCAAAGAAGCAACCAACCAAACAAACCTCGAACTCAAAAATCAAAAACCCAAATAACAAATAACAAATAAAAACAACAAAAATGAGGAGAAAAAACCTCTGCGTTGGGTCTTCATCAGCAGAGTGAAAATTCCCACGAGAACGACCCATTTCTCCAGGAAGTTGAGGAAGCTCAAAGTCGTTCAATTCAAAGCTAAAATACAAGAAGAAGCAAACTACTGGTAGTTATGGGGCAAAAATGGTGAAGTAAACCCTAACAGTAGATTTCTCATGAGGGTTTTGAAATCTGGCATTGACAAAGTGAATTTGATGGGCGAGGATAGTAACACTCGCAAATCCAAAAAAAAACTATGAGTACGGAGTGAGAGGTCAACTCTGAGTTGAATTTTCTCAGTTTTTACATTTATCGGAAAAGTCGAAATTTAGAAAAATCTGTTTGTTTGGCGAGAAAATTAATTTGCAGGCGGAAAAACAGCGTTGCGGGTTTCCTTTACCACCTATCAAGGTGGGACCACTTCTGGTCTGAAGAATAAAAATGTTCTTTAGTTATAAGAAACTAGTTAATTTTGCTACGAATAATTATCTATACATTTAAAAAATGCATAAAAATATTTTCAAGAAAAAAACATGTACTAATTAAATAAATTGATAAAAAAAATAAATAGTAATGTAAGGCATGTAGAATTGGGGTAAAAGACCAACAATAAATGCTTTAAAATCATATGATATATCAACTCGATTTATCTTTTTTTTATAATTATTTGTAAAAAATAAAAGATAATATAATCATAAATAATTTTGTAGCAAAATTTATTATATTATAAATTTAAATAAAATTTTCAAACAATTTATTATCAAATACCAATAATGGTAATAAAAATAATAGATCAACACAATACTTTTTATGAATTAATATAATGAATTCATCTAGCACTTCACTTCTTCGGCTCCATCAGATTTGACTTCTGTAAACCAAGGTTACAACAAAACTGAATTCTGATCTTTGTAAGCCCTTCACTTCTGATGAGATTCATCTAGCACTCTGCCAAATGCATCTTTCCAAAGCACCCGGCCTAGACGATATGCCTCCTTTTTTTTTCAAAAATTATGGCATATTGTAGGTCAATCTGTTTAGAAAAAAGTGTTATCCATTTTAAATAATAATGAGTCTCTTGTGTCAATTAATCACACATTTATTACTTTGATCCCAAAGATTAAAAACCCGCTTCTCGCTAAAGATTTTTGACCCATCAGTTTATGTAATGTCATTTTCAAAATTATTACGAAAGTCATTGCTAATAGGTTAAAAACTGTTTTACCTATTATCACCGGTCCATCTCAGTTTGCTTTTATATGAGGCCATCTTATTATTGATAATGTTTTACTAGCTTTTGAGATCTTTCACTTCATGAATAAAACGATTAAGGGTAGGAAAGGGTCTTTTGCTTTAAAACTTGATATGAGTAAAGCATATGATAAGATAAGATGGAGTGGCCTTTTCTAAGGTCTGTTATGCTTAAAAAGGGTTTTGCTGTAACTTGGGAAGATCTTGTTATGCATTGTGTTTCCTTTGTTTCATATTCAGTGCTAATAAATGAGAAGCCTAGTGAAGTCTTCTATCCTCAAAGAGCACTTCGTCAACGCGATCCATTATTTCCATATTTGTTTTTGATATGCACAAAGGTTTTTTCTAATCTCATCAGCCATGCAGAGTCTCGCGACTAATTACATGGGATTAAAATTTGCAGGAGAGCCCATCTGTCTCTCATATCTTTTTTGCAGATGATCGTATTATTTTTTGTCGCGCAAATGCTACTCAAGCTTTTGTTGTGGCCAATATCCTTCAACAATATGAGATGACTTTGAGGCAGAAAATAAATCTAGAGAAGTCGGAGATCTCTTTTAGCAGAAATGTTCCTGTGGAAGCTCAGACTATGATTCCGGTGGAAGCTCAAGGGATGGAAAAAAAAGACCATCTCTCATGCAGGCAAGGAAGTTTTTACTTAAGGCAGTTGTTCAAGCTATCCCGACTTATATTATGAGTTGTTTTCAGTTACCTAGGGCATTTGTGATTAGATTGAAGGTCTAATGGCTCGCTTTTGGTGGGGCAAAGGAAGGATGAGAAGCGCATCCATTAGGCTAGTTAGAGGAGCCTGTGTTCTTCAAAGTTTATTGGTGTCTTGGGCTTTCCCGATCTCAATGCTTTTAATTTAGCTATGCTCGCAAGCAGTGCTGGGGGTTATGCCTGGATGAGGAGTCGCTTCTTGCTCAAATTCTTAAAGCTCGGTATTTTCCTAATAAGTCTTTCTTAGAGGCACGAAAGGTTTCAACCCGAGTTTTACATGGAGAAGTTTACTGGATGCTAGATGTCTAATTGATCAAGGTGCCTGGTGGTTAGTTGGTCGCGGTACAAAGATTCGAATTTGGCAGGATATGTGGCTTCCAAAGCTTTAGGGCCATAGAGTTGTTTCTTTCCCAACTGTACTAGATCCAGGGGCAATGATAAGTGAGTTAATAGACTATGATGATTTTTGTTGGAATCTTCTTTTAATTCAGTCATTCTTTTTTACCTATTGAAGTGGAGGATATTGTTAGAATTCCTTTATGTGACACAAGAAGTGAACATTTGCTTATATGGCCTTTAACAAAGTCTGGACACTTCAGTGTGAAAACTGCATACCATTTGGCTCTCTCAAAGTTGAATTTATCGCACACTAGTGATGCTTCTTCCTCATCAGGGTCCAGTTGGTGGAAGAGTTTATGAAAGTACATGGTACCCTCAAAAATTAAGCATTTTATTTTTCGGGTTTATAAATCTCAGCTACCATGCAAGGAAGCTTTGCTATATTGTGGTGTCCTAGAAGATCCCATTTGTGCTATGTGTAGTAATGATGTTGAAACAATAGACCATACTTTTCTAAGGTGCTCTTTGTCTCAGTAGGTTTGGCTTCTCAGTCCATTGCAGATTAATACATCTGATATTCACAGGTCTTTTGTTGAGTGATTTGCATTTTTGGATGAGAATTTTGCAATCGAACAAATGCACGTTGCTTTGGTCGTTGCATGGGTAATTTGGCGTATGTGAAATCCCATAGATTTTCAAGATAAGACTCTATTACCACCTCAAGTGGTGAACCTAGTTTTTTAATTGTTGTATGGATACCATGATGCTAACATGGTTTCCTGCTCGCAGAGTTGTAATTCTCGATCTTTGCAGAAATGGACGCCTCCTCCTTATGATGTTGTGAAAATAAATTGTGATGCAGCTTTGAATGAGGCTCAGCACACCATCTCTGTAGGTGCAGTATATCGCGACTCTAATGGTCAATTGTTAGCATCGACTTGTGTTTGTTTTGCAGGAATTGCTGATCCTTTGGAAGTAGAAACACAAGCTGCTTCTTTTGCTCTAAAAAAAGCCTAAGAACTGCACTTTCGGTATATCATCTTGGAGACCGATTGCCTCCAGCTGGTCCACCTCCTCAATTCTCCAAATGTGTCACGAAACGAAATTAGTACAAGAATTCTTCAGTGCAAGTTGTTAGTTCAATCTTTTATCTCTTACCTTTTTTGTTCATTCGTTTTGAGAATGTAATGTTGCAGCCCATCAGTTGGCAAAGTTGGGCTTTAGTTTTGGTTTTGTTCAACAAGTTTGGGTGGAAGATGGTCCATCCTCTCTTATGCACTTTGTAACGGCAAATTTGTCTTTTCTTCTTAAGTAATGCAGTGTTATTTCCCCTAAAAAAAACATAATACTTGTATGATATTATTTAATATATGGAGTAAATTTTATAAATTTAGTTAGTTATGTTTATTATATTATATTATATTATATTATATTTTGTTCAACAAGTTTGGGTGAAGATGTCCATCCTCTCTTATGCACTTTGTAAACGCGCAAATATTGTCTTTTCTTCTTTAAGTAATTGCAGTGTTATTCCCCTAAAAAAACATAATACTTGTTTATGATATTATTTAATATATTGGAGTAAATTTTATAAATTTAGTTATTATGTTTATTTATATTATATTATTTATATCTAATTATATATTATATATTTAACTAGCTTACATGTTGTGCTATGTAAAATTAATTTAATAAATATTAATTTTTTTAATATTTAAATTTAAATTTTTATATCTCACTTTTATTAAAATATTTTTTAGCTTATTAAATTGAATTTGTAGATAAAAAAATTTGGAAATTTTGCAACCTTCAAAATTTAATCTAACAAAAATATTAATTTTAAAACTTTTGTAAAGTGTTTAATTGTTGATATAAACATTTTTAGTTTTTTAATATTTAAATTTAAATTTTTATATCTCACTTTTTATTAAAATATTTTTTAATGCTTATAATTGATTTGTAGATAAAAAATTTGGAAATTTGCAACCTTCAAATTTAATCTAACAAATATAATTAAAACTTTTGTAAATTGTAATTGTGATATTAAACATTTTTTTAAAAAAAAATATGATAATAATGTTAGAAAATAAAATATTTTAAATGAATAATTATATTTTATTGTCTAAAAAATGTGTGTGTGACAAATTTTCAAGTTACATAATTGATCTATTAAAAAGTCAAGAAAAAAGTAAACATTTTATCCTTCATCAAACAATTTTGTTTTTCTTATTGACCTTGAAATATATTTAATTAATTCATTGTTAATGAACAAACTAACTAAGCCGGCTACTTTTTTTTTTTTCAAATTATTTATTTTTTTCAAATAAGGACTTGGACTAATAAAGTCGGTAGCCAAAATTGGCTGCTAATAAGTATATGAATGTGAGCAAGGAATTGTAGGTCTGTAATACATATATGAGGTGGACATCTAAAAATATTCCAATCTCCACTTTTTAAGTCTCTCTTTTTCTCCCTCAACAAGGCGTCATTGTTGATCAGATTGCTATATCAGTCAACATCTATTAAATGGTTAGGAATTTCATTGTTTGAAATAAAATTTTGTTTATAATTGATTTGATACCGGGATGAATATTTGATTAAACTGAACTGAACCGAATTAAATTGATTTGATACAATCTAATCGTATAAATTGTATGATGATTGAAACCAAGTTAAATATTGTGAAAATTAGTTCAATATCAAATCAAACCAAATTAATTCGAGTTTTATTCGATTATTTTGAATCAAACCATCTATTTTGGGGGTAAAGAATTAATGTGGTTTAGCGCTCCTCGAGAACCAAATCAAAATCGAAAAACATTCAGTTATCACTGTCCAAATCAAATAGTAACTGACCTCTAAAATGTTGATTGAAGAATCAAACCGAAATGAGTTGATTAGATTTAATTATTCAGTCCAGGTCAAATATTGCTCACCTTCTATAATATTAATTAAAGCCGCCTTCGTGACTTTTTCTTTGCCACTAGCATCACTCTCCCTCTCTCTTTGAGTTTTGGTTTTTTCTCCCTCTTTGAATTTAATATTCTTTTTGTAATCACTAAATAGTAAGTCAAATGTTTATGCAATTTGAAAAAATGAGTCCAAAATTTTCAAGTTGCGCACATTGTACGACTAGAAACACACAGGTCATGAAAATTTAAGGCCCGTTACGTAATATTAGGTGTGCATTTCCTAATACCAGGTATTTTAGTGATTGTTAAATATTTTAATGGTTGTTAGTTGTTTCAATAGTTGTTGCGGTTAATTTTTATATAGCGGTTGAAACCGATAGTGTTGGTAATTTAATTTGAAATGATAAAAAAGACATTGAAATATTCAATTGGAATTTTTGGTCATAGCCATAGAATTAAACTCCTTATTAAAAAAAATGATTTTATCAAACCTAAATTTTCAAAAATTTAAAGGAGCAAAAATTGAAAAGTTCACAATTTTTAATATTTTAGAGGATTAATATTTTTAATTTTTTATATTTGCTTGAGTTCAAAAGCAAATATATAAATAAGCATTTTCTTTTTCTTTTACTATCAATTATAAACAAGAAACATAAAAAATACTCCTTCTACCCTTAAATATATGTCGTTTAAAGTTTTTATATAAGAAATAAAGGGTAATTTAACTAAATTATCATTTATCTTAAAACCAATAGTTGTTAAAGTATTTATTATATCTAGTGTAGATAAAAGTAACGGTGGAAAGACATTATTTATTACTCCTTGAAATACTCAAAACCACCTACATTTTGCGACAAAATAATAAAAAAAATGATTTATATTTTGAAACAGGGGAAATAATAAAAAGACGTAACGTGATAACAAAAGAATTTTAAATTATTTAAGGATATGGGTAAAAAAAATTTTCAGTAAAAAGACATAAAACCCTAAACATTAAAAGACATAACACGCTATATCTCATATTATCAAACACAATAATTTAGAAAAATCGTGTTCTGACTGGTTAAAAATACTCAAAACGGTGTTGCTGAACACATTTTTAAAACCGGGTCTACAGGTTCAACTTATTATTAAATTAATAAAAAATGTTTATTTTTAAATGAGAGTATTTTTTTTCCATCGACTAAAAAAGAGAAACAAAGAAAAAGTAACAGGAGATGGTTTGCTCCAAGGTAGGCCCATAGACAGGCAAGTTTTTATCCATCCAAAATAATCAATTCAACGATTTGGAATACAAAATAACAATAATTAATTAACTAAAACTTCTATTTTAATTGGACAAACTTGCAAGATTTTCCAAGGTGACAAGGTATAAGATGCGAGAAAATTCCGAATTTCTGCATATAAATAAAAAGGTGCTCATAAATCAGTTTCCAACCTAAAGAAGACCAAAACCTCTTCTTCATTTTCTTCGTCTCTAAAATGGCTTCTGTATCTTTCTCCCCTTCAAAGATTAGAACACTTACTATCTCCCCAACAAAGCCACCAATTACTCCATCTTCCACTACCGTATCTCTAATCCACTCTTCTTCTTCTTCTTTACCATTTCGCTTGAAAATTAAATGCCAAGCCACAGAAACTGATGCTAATAAATTACCTAAAAGACTACCGCCAGGGCCAATTAAGCTACCACTGATCGGAAACCTACACAACTTGGCCGGTGCTCAGCCGCACCATGCGCTTACAGAGCTAGCCAAAGAATATGGCCCACTTATGCACTTACAGTTGGGCGAAATATCAGCAATTGTTGTATCTAATCCAAGAATCGCTCAAGTGATAATGAAAACCCATGATCTTGTTTTTGCAGATAGGCCTGAAATTCTTGCTGCTAAAATAATCACTTATGGCGGTCAAGATATAGCCTTTTCGAAACTTGGCGAATATTGGAAGCAAATGAAAAGAATTAGCTTAATGGAGCTTTTAGGTCCTAAAACAGTTCAATCTTTCGCTTCCCTTCGCGAAAATGAAGTAGAGAAATTGATACAGTCTATTCATTTATCTAAAGGAAAACCTATAAATTTTACAGAGAAAATCTTCCATCTTACTAATGTTATAACCTGTAAGGCTGCGTTTGGCGATGAGTGTAAAGATCAGGATGTTGTTATAGCTTTGACTAAGGAAGCAACAACAATTGCAGGAGGTTTTGGTATAGCTGACGTGTTTCCTTCTATGGAGTTTCTTCAAGCTATTACTGGTGTTAAGGGTAAATTGGAGAAACTTCGAGACGAGTTAGGGGATGTGTTTGGTAATATTATTGATGAACATAAGCAGAAATTGATGAATAGAGATGGTAGTGATGATGTTGAATCGGAGAAAGAAGATTTAGTTGATGTTCTGTTAAAGCTTCAAGGAAGTGGAAGGTTTCAATGTCCTGTTACAAATAATAGCCTCAAAGCTGTTGTTTTGGTTAGTATTTCTGCTGCAATTACTAATTCAGTTTTATACAGATATTTATTAAGGTATGTTTAGCATTAATTAGGGCTCTAAAAAGCGAGTTTAGCATAGTACTGTTGAGCTCAACCTCAGCTTGTTGAAAATATATTTAAGCTCGAGTTTGAGCTCAACTCATATTCGATTCGAGTTCGAAAAACTGAGCTTGAGCACCACTAGTTTCTGATAAAAAAATTGACATATAAAAACTCTCTTTTAACTCATATAGGATCTATTCACTGCTGGAACTGACACTTCATCAACAACAGTAGAATGGGCAATGTCAGAAATGATGAAGAATCCAAGAATCTTGAAGAAAGCACAAGAAGAGGTACGTGAAGCTTTCAAAGGAAAGAAAATAATCTGCGAAGAAGACGTTAAGCAATTGAAGTACTTGCCATTAGTAATAAAAGAAACTCTAAGATTACATCCTCCAGCACCATTGTTACTTCCAAGAGAAAGCAGAGAAGCCTGTGAGATTGATGGGTATGAAATTCCTATGAGGTCCAAAGTCATTGTAAATGCGTATGCAATCGGAAGAGATCCTGAAGCTTGGCCTGAACCTGATAATTTTAAGCCAGAAAGATTTATTAATAGTTCTGTAGATTTTAAAGGGATGAACTTTGAGTTTATTCCATTTGGTGCTGGAAGGAGAATTTGTCCTGGAATTGCGTTTGGTCTGGCCAATATAGAACTTCCTCTAGCCAGAATACTGTACCATTTTGATTGGAAGCTGCCTGAAGGGATCACATCAGAAAATTTAGACATGACTGAAGCTTTTGGAGCTACTGTTGGAAGGAAGAACCAATTGTATTTGATTCCTATTCCATACACATCAAAAGCTGAGTCTAGCCATCATAGTGAGGCAATGAAACTTGTCAACTAAAGGATTTTGAATTGTAAAAGAAACATTTCTTATGCCATCTAATTAGACTTCAAAATGGAAAATAATGACTGAAAAGTGGAAACAGATAAAACAATACATGGAGAGCCGCCACATTATTTTATTTATATTAGCTAGAAATCAAGTTTGATGGCTTCTTTGCACACCTTTTTTTGTTTGTTTTGTCCTTTCTTTTTGTTTGTAATTTCCCCCATATATCCCATGGTCAAACGGTAAATCGTTGACAATTCAAAGTTTTCAGCATTTGATTGTTGACTAGAATGCTAGAATCTTGTGACGCCATTATAAATTGTCTTTACTCAGAACAGCAAAATTTCGGACTATGTTCATTCATTTCTTTTTAGTGCTCAGGAGGGGATTTTTTCACAGTAAAAGGAGAAGCATAATGACATACATTGACGGAGCTAGGGGTGGCTCCCGCCCCCCTAACAATTTTTTTTTTTTTTAAATCACCCATAAAGTATTAAAATTTCTTTATTTTACCCATTAAAATAGTAATTTTTCAATTTTTCCCCTTTAACTTTTGAAAATTTTTTTAGCTTCTAATTTTAATTCCTGGTTCCATAACTGACATCTTTAATATTCAAATTCCGTCACTGACATCTTTAATATTCAAATTAATTTGAAGGGATAAATTGCTGATATTTAATTAATTTAAATGGATAAATTGGTGGAAAAAAAAGAAAAAAGCAATTATTTTGAAGGGAAATTTTGGTGAACCTTGGGTAATATAGATAATAATTTGACTATATCATCAATCAAAAAATTAAAAAAAATTAGGACTTCATCCTTAAAATATAGATAATATGAAACAAAATATTAAATTAAAAAAAATTATAATTCGTTAAATTAAGTTTTATTCCATGCTTCATGTTTTTTTTTTGGTAAGTAATATAAATTTATGTTATGAAAACTTTAAAATTTATGTATGCAATATTAATTGGATAACTAATGGAATTGCTTTCCAAAGTAATGTCACATGCATGAAGATTAAAAAAATGATGGAAATATGTTTCTATTAGCAATTCCAACCTTAATTGTAAGTGAGATGAGAGTACTATTGCTATAAAAGTTCATAATAGGGATAAAATTGAAGAATCTATGTATTTTATGTATAAAAATCTATTTTTATAAATACAATTTGAGTTAAACAGGTTACAATTTAAAAATATCATAAGTAATTTAAGTGGGTCATATACAGATCAATACGATTCACTTAACCTGCTTATGGCATTAGACGAGTTACAAAAGTCAACAAAACCTATTTAACCTACTTATGATATTAGACGGATTGTACGTGTCGTATTCGTGCCATCTATCTAATTTTCAGATCGTGTTCACGTCGACAAATTCAATACAATTATTAAATAGATTAATGTTCGAATTGATCATAGTCATATTGAATGTTAAGTGAATTCATATTGATCCCGATACACCAACCTATTTTGGCACACTTAATTTTTTTTTTTTTCGTTCTATGTGCGATTCGGTATGGAATAAATAACCTTTCGAATATTTAGCTTTTATGTTGACTGTTCGATGTAGAAGCTCTCAGTAGTGGTGTGTCGGCAGGGAAGCCACGGATCACTGTTTCTCTCTTTCTATGACATTGGTTGAGCCAAAAAAGTTATAGTTGATTGGTTATATAAAACAGCCCCACAAAGATTCACAAATAAAAAAAATATATATAAATAAATAGTTAATTTTCTTCTGTAAAATATAGTTTATTTTAATAGCTTTTAATTTGAAAAGTATTCACTGCAAGATTTAAGTAAAAATATTTTCTTAAAATTAAACCTTTCTTCATCAAAATTCTTTTTTTTTTCTCCATTTAAATAAAAAAATCAAGCATGTAAACATGGGAGGGATGATTCTTGTCTTCTATGATAATTCCTCTTTCGTTTTTCTCATTTTTTTTATAAATTTTTATTTTTTTTATCAAATAGATTACGTTTCTGTGTCTGTTTGGCATAAATCTATATTATTTATTTTTCATTATTTTCTTGTGGTGTATCTCTATTTTATATGAAGTATGTGATCTCTCTATTTTATATGGAGTATTTATTTTATTTTATTTTTATTTGAACATGTTTGCAATTTGTGAATAACTTATCTCCAACTTTGTCTTTTAGAGTTCAGTAATGTTATTTAATAGTTGAAATTTTATATTCATCGTAAATAACTAGTTCATAGATAATCAGACCACATAAAGAATATTTAAAAGAGCCTTCACATAATCAGGCCATGTAAAGAAAATTTAGAGAGTTTGTATAACTAGTCACTTTAAAAGTCTCAATTTTTTCAAATTCACCTTTTAATTTTTTTATTAGATCAACAAACTCTATTTTATTATTTTAGTTATGAAAGTTTTGTTTTATGTCTGGTCTTCAGTTTAAGAGGGGAACTTTACTCCCCATTATTTGTATTGCTTTGAATTTATTAAAGATCTCCTAATATATTGTATTCAAAAAAATTCAAAAAAAAAAAGTTCCTTATTTAGTTAATTTCTAAAAGAAATAAAAAAAAATAGTAACTGAGACATTGGAAAGAATTAATCCTAAAACACTAACATAATGTTATATAAGGTACTTTTTCATCTAATTTAAATATTAAAGTTATTAAATTAAAATTTAGGAATTCACAACAAAACTTTGTGACGGAATACAAATTGATTACCTTTTTATCTTTTCACAAGTAGGTTGTAAGTGAAAAAGTAGTTATAGGATATCGGCAGACCTGACCCGCGCTCATTCTTAGCCCAGCCCATTTCTGTGCCAGACCTTCCGCGTTTGTTAAATTATTGGCACAACATGCTCAAAATTGCATCATTTGTATCCCGCGCCTTCAAAATTTGAATCCCCAGTCACTGCCAGGCTCCAGCTACCACTTACGAGTCCTTCACAATTCAAAATCAAGAAAAATCCATTTATCATTCATATCTTGTCTTCTTTATTACCCATATCTCTCTCCTTCTGTCCTCTGTTTTTCCCCTAAAATTCCTCTCTTATATTAAAAATCCTCTGCATTTAAAATCCCACATTAATGGCTTCTCGCTACAACTCATTTGATTCAAGGTCTTCAACAACCTCCTCTCATTTCTCAGACCCATCTTCCTCTACCGAATTTAACTACAACCCATCATCCAAAGCCACTTCACGAGCTCTAGTGAAGTCTAAACCGTCGGATCTATCCCGAACCAAGAGCAAAAGCAAGAGTAATGACCATAACTTGAGTGCCATGGTCAAGAAATTTATGGAGAAGAAATCCACTGGAAAAGGGTCTTCCAGTAAAACTGCTGCGGCTGGTGGGCTGGTGATTCCCTCGGACTTGATAGCGCAGGACTTGAAGAAAACGGCAAGGAAAGGGACTAGCTTTATTGGGTTGCAGAAAAAATTGTTTGGGAAAGAGAAAGAGAAGGAGAATAAGACAGTGAAGGCTTTGACGGAGGTGAAGGGGAGTGGTAATAGTGCTAATACAAGGACGCTGGCGATGGTGTTGAGGAGTGAAAGAGAGCTTTTGAGTGCTAATAAAGAGCAGGAGATGGAGATTGCAGAGCTTAAGTTGATTCTTGAGGATAAAAACAGAGAGGTGACTTTTGCATTTGAAGTTCTTTTATTGGTTTTGGATATTTTGATTCATTTTATTTTCGGATATGGGTTTGGTAGAGTTAAATATAAATTTTGTATGCTTTCTACTATTGTTGATTGAATTTTATATCCTAGTTGTTATTGACTATTACTTACAGGATTAGCTATAGCAAATTACGTGAATTAATTGATTTCTCTGCCATAAACTGAAGCATTTCTTTCCAAATTTTGGAAATTATTTGATTACTATATATTTCTAGCTAGGAGAAACATTGGATTTATGATTCATCTCATTTTTGGTAACGTGTTTACTAGAATTCATTATAATTTTTTGTTTTTTTTTCCCTTTTTCATCTGTTTACTGGATTTTTGAGTTCTTGTTTTGGGTACTGAAATTTGATATTTGGGTGCATCAGTTATTCTGAATCAATCCTATTATTCCAATATTAGCTATAAGGCCTTGAATAAATTAACTTGAATTCTCTGCCACTGGAGGTTTTCTTGTCAAATTTTGGCAATTACTTAATTAGAATGCTCTTTTTGGCTTGAAAGAAATGTAAACTGTAAATTCTTGTTGCTTTGTATGTCAAATGCAGGTTGAGAAGCTGAAGGATTTGTGCCTGAAGCAAAGGGAAGAGATTAAATCACTAAAAAGTGCAATTCTTTTTCCTGATGTAATGAATTCTCAGCTTCAAGAGCTATTAGAAAAACAAGGATCAGAGTTGAAGCAAGCCAAACAATTAATTCCAACTCTCCAACGTCAGGTCTCTTCTCTTACAGGCCAGTTACAGTGCCTCGCTGAGGATCTTGCTGAGGTATTTTCTTTTCTTGCACCCATTTTTCTGTCAGTGGCTACCAATGGATATTACACAAATGGGTATTTTATTCTAGGGTTACCCATTTCTAATTCTCTTTGTGGTACCAAAAAGTGGTTTCTTTTCTATTATATGTAAATTTATATGCATATTTCTAATGGTTTCATTTCATTTTTGAATTCCGGATTTTCTCATTTAGTTCACTACCGTTGGCTGACCTTTGAAAATTTTTTGTTCTCGTTAAGCTTGTGTACATATGATTTTGTGACATTGAAAATAATCTCAATAATTGCTTTAATAGAACATAGAACTTATACATGTACGGTTACATTCATTCAAGCATTCAAAAATAGTCATCAAGATAATATTTCAAATTTAATTTACATGAATGAGTATTAAGGTTCTTGACTCTGAGAGATTACTGTACAAGGTGCTAATTATGGACCTAGCCTTCGATAAGCATTTATGTGAATCTTTCCCTTGGAATTTTATGCTTTTCTCAAATTTCTTCCCAAGAGGATGACTAAAAGCAATGTTACTTATTTTGTTAATAATTGTATCACTCGTTATATGCTGGAGGCGGCATACCCTGTCAAATAAATGCTGCTATTGGTCGTTCTTTTCGTTATGTGTCTTGCCTGGAACGTTTAGATTAAATTCTGCAAGTTGGGATTGGTGTATAATTGTAGAACATATATTTTGCTCTAAGCAGGTAAAGGCTGACAAATATACCGGAGCATATTTCCAAAATCAGGGCAGCTCCTCACCAAGAACGCCAACATATGATCATGAAGAAACTGCTAATTCTTTAGTAAGTATGCTTTGGGATATTGCATCATTGGAACTATAGTAGTTGATAGTCATATTTGGTTGAGATAAGCTGCTGTTGTTGAAAGAAATTAGAGACTCATATAACCTGAGTTATACTAACATATAACCTGCTTAAGAATCTATTAACTTTCCTCTTGATAGAAGCAATTAATTAGAAAAAATCATTTGGAAGAATTCAATTCTATCAATGAATTTTTTTCTTTTGAGTATTAGTTCTATCAATGAATTGAATTAAATACTTGTGTAAAAATAATTCAGAGCAGGGTTTAACTCTATAATGATTCAATGTATGTTTTTTCCTTCAATTGCCTTTTCCTAAAAAAAAAAAAAACAATACTAGAAGTGTAGGGGGCTAGGCTAGAGTATAAATTATTTGTATAATATGACTTTTGCATTGAGTCTAATAAATTGAATTCTTGCAAAATAAACTCAAATGGTCTAATTTCTATTTTGCTTCAGAATAATTTCTTTTTCACGTGGAAAGAATTAAAGTATATGAATTACATCCTTTCCAAACATAAGAATTGGCAAAATTAATTACATTAAAGCTTTGCAAAATTTAGTTTCCAAAAAAGGTTTAATGTGCCTAGAAAAAAATAGCATGATTTCCTTTACATTGTCAAATTTTAAAAAGCACTTGCAGTTCAATTTCTCTCCTTGTAACTTTCTGCTTTAATAATATATATATATTTTTAACCCTTTTCAGGAATTCAGCTCCTGCGATGCTGCAAGCCCGGGCAGTCCAGATGACATGTTCCTCAAAGATTTGAATCCATGTTTAACACCTTACTATGCCAAGTCAAAGTCCAAGGTTAGCGCATGATCTTCCTTCAAGTTCTTACACTATACAGTGCCTCTTACAGGTTTTTGGAATTGGCCGTAGGGTAGTGACCTGATTGATACTGGAATTTTTCTAAATAAGTTCAAGATGCTTGCACTCTACTGCAACCATGACCGTAATTTATGATCAGGAAAATAAATAGATAACAATCTTCTGAAATCTCGCAGGAATTTGAGGCGATGGGGTATGATTCTCCAGAAGATGAAAGCTTATGCAGGAAAAACATACAAAGGTACAATGAACTTAGTTTCAACTCCTCTTGCAAGAAAATGTCTAAGAGTTCAGATTGCTACCAGAGCAACAATAACAAAGTGAGCATAATGACAAGAGCAACTCGAAGATCAGATGAACGCAAATTCATATATGGAAATCAAATGCAGCTAAGACCTTTCTAATGTCTTCATATTCATGAAGCATGCTTTTTGTTACTCTTTTGGATTATAGAGTTATGGTATAAACCAGACATCAAACTTGAGTTTGTAGCTCCTAGTTGTACATGGTACAATATAAGCACTAGGAATGAAAGCAACATGATGAGCTGGAAAAAAAGAAGTCCTTTCTGTGTCCTGTATTACTATAAAATCAAGTGCTATTTCGTATCTGAAGTTTAATAATTTATTTTGGTGATGCTCAGTGTTTCTTCTTGCATAGTTGTAGAAGCTTTTGCTATTTTGCAGCTTGTAGGACAAAATAGAAAATGAGAATTGATTAGATCATTTTCATGGGAATCAATTAGTTATGGAGTTTTCCTTTCTACTCTTTTCTTAAGTAAGCTGATGTGTCACGAAAAGGAGAAGACAAGTTCTTTCTTTTATTTATTTATTTATTTTTTAAACCATCCGGCATTTAAAGTTTAGAGGCCTATATTTAAGTTTTTTGTTCTAATAGTAAGGTGTTCAAGTTCAATTCAGATCCATGACTTAGGGATGGTTTGCTTAGGTTGAATGCTAAATTTGAATCTTTCATCTTATGAGCTGAAGGATTAAAATGGTATTGAGATTTTATTGTTAAATGATTAATAAGTGGTATATATTGTTACTTTATTGTTATAGGGACAATTTTACATTTTTATCTAATAAAATACATAGTTTATTGGATCAATTTTAAAACAATCATTTTCATTTTCAGAAAGATAAATTTATTTCTTATTGTTTGAATGAATAAGTTGTCTTTTTGATACGCTATCTTTAAGGTGAAATAAATAGTATCTTAATGTACTTGTTTGATGTTTAGATACAATTCTCTTATCAAAGGAGCTTGAGCTTGATTTGGTATAGTCATGTATTGGGATGGAAGCAGCACGGTATAGAGAATTTTGAACTATTTATAATCTTTTTCGTTTAAAATTTTACTATTCGTATCTGATCTACATCTATTTAAATATCTATTTAAATATTCGTATGCAAATCTGTTTAAAATTTCATTATCATTATCCATTTCAAATCCATTCAAAGTATCTCATAAACGATAGGATATCTGTATATTTTAAACTATTTAAACCGGAATTTATTTAAAATGCATTTTTTTATTAATAAATGGGTAGAGTATCCGCGGATACTCATGACCAGAACTGTTTATTATAGTGGTTAATGGGTAGTGGGTATCTAGAGTCTAATATCTTTACCCTATCCGTATTCGTTGTAGCTAGTAATTTTATTATCTATATCACTCTAAAATCCATTTATAAGTATTCATACTTTTATTAAACAGATGAAAGTGGAATAAATATTTTAAAATATCCGTTTCACTTCCATCCCTACTCATATCACACTATCAAGAATCATGGATTGCCCTAAGAATCACGCATTATCTTAAAATATCCGATTCACTTCCATCCCTACTCCGACACACTATTAAGAATCATGGATTGCACCTATATTTAGTTGTAATTTGGGGGATAAAAGCATCATGGAGGCCCTTAAACTTTACCAAATTTAACTACTAAGTTCTTTTTTGAAACTTCCTTTTATCGGTACTCTCAAACTTCAGAGTTGGAATCACGCAGCCTTAATTAATAAAGGAAACGGAGCGTGGCAATAATTAAAGAAAATGGCCCGTCTACCGCTACTGACCACTTTATTGCTGCAGCTAAAAAATTTGCGCTCTTGCAATTTTTAGGATTAGGATCATAGGGTAATTATGTAAAATCCATTCAGCCTTTGATTGTAACAAATAGTATTATTTTTTGATTTATTTGTAATTCTTGTAAATTATTGTAGACTACTTGAGCTCAGGAGCTCACGTGGCAAATGAACGAAACATGTGTAACTCATGCAATGTCCTATATGTCTAACAAGTATAGCAAATGAATTTACGCACCCCAAATCCCCTATTTGGCTTGATAACAGATGATTAGTTTATTTGTCTTTTGAGATTACTACTAGATAATATCTATATGGATACTCGCAATTTGGTATGCTCTGGTACGTCTCAAATTCGAGTTCTCATATAAATACCAAAATATTTTAAATGTTTATAATATTTATATTACAATTATAAATAACGTGCAATGCATATTAAAAAAATTTAGTACTATATAAATAAGTAGAGATAGGGAAAAAATGAGATAGAATATAAAGTTATTTTTTGATTTATAATAAAAGTTCTTAAATAAGAATTATATTAGGAATTCTTATAAAATAAGAATATTAGAATTCTAATATATATTTAGGAATTTTCATTATAAAATAAAAAATATGACATGAGTTCTACTAACTATTCCATAAAATAGGTGAATTATTTTCATAAAAAATAAAATAGTTAATGGATTATTTTCTTTAGCTTAATGCATAAGATTATCTTGAAGGATTTACTCTTGTGGCACTCAAAGTTTTTGAGAGGCGAATTATACTCTTAAAGTTGTAAGTTTTAATAATAACAATGCACTTTAGAGTTTATATATGCAATTTTTAGTAACAATTTTTAGAGAACCATCGTATGCCCCTGAAAGTGCTTATTACGCTATGGAAAGGTTGTGTATGAATTGACGTGGACTAATTTGATCATATGAGAGAGATATGAGGGAGTGATGACTGAAATATAGTAATATATCTTTATGCAATACCTGGATTTGTAATATTTATTATACATGCATGGAGGCGAGTCCAGCTCCCATACCCGTGGAGTCGAACCACGGTAATCCTAAGGATAAGCTAAGGTTATAGAGATGAGAATATGGTTGAAGGACATGTTAGGGAAGACTCGGCGTAATGCTCTCCATCGTCCCAGGACCGGTATGTGGGGCCAAACCCTAGTGAGTTAGGATGCAGGTATCATGCTCTATCAAGAGGAGGTGATGTCTCCATAGGGAAGGAGCTCTACAGACATTGTAGGACAAAAGCTTATAGCGCGCATCTCCCGTAGGTGAATGTTTCGTTATAGGCAGCTTTATGCTATCCGGGGGCCTAAAGTCCTTGAGTTCATGCACGTATGTGCTAAACCCTTATATATGTGGCAAGATGAGTCTCTATAGTCAAATACGATGCTAAGACCCTCGAAGTATGCATGACTGGTCTAGATTATGAGTTAAGTCTAGGCGTCACACGAGTGTTAAAGCTACGAGGCTCTAGCCTCGTGACAATTTGTAATAAAAGTTGCAACATCAAAGCATAGTAAGTCAAACTTTAAATTATCAAAATTAAGGCTAAAATCTTAAAATTCAGAGACAATTTTATACATATTTTATTCTACCAATATACTCTCATTATTATTATTATCATTGTCAAATTGGAAAATATCTCTCGGTAAGACTATGCTAAACAACTAAACTCTTTACCCTTTAATTTTTACCATTGATGAATTTATTATTCCATCATCATGTCATTGATTTTCTATGGGGACTTGGCGTAAAGAAGACAGGACTGGGCATTAAGAAAAAACAAGAAATTATAAATCAATTGAATAAAAGAAACACATGAAGACTAACTACTAAGCTGCCAAGTACCGTACTCATCTATCTATAAAAATATATAATTTTACTTAGCACTCTTATAATTTTAGAATTCTGAGTTGACCTTAAAAGTTGAATTGAAAAGGTTGTATCCATTGGTTACCGTTTCATTGTCTTTTACTCCCTTACCGTTTATTGTCTTTTATTATTCCTTTGTCTTTTACTATTCTTTTGTCGTTTCATTATGTTTCATCGTAACAACAACTGCAATTATATTGAATAATCCCCAATTGGTGTAGAGATTTCTTCCTATATAGACTTCTTAAGATTTTTTGAGTCTAATCAGAAAAACCACTTAACTTATTGAGGAAGAAATAAAATTACAATAGGAAACAATTATGTATTGTTCTTCTTTCAAATTAGGAGTTTAAGTTGATCAATTAGGATGAAACTCGAATTAAGTAGTAGCTTTATGGTCCACATTCATCCTTATTTGATAATTGGCAATTTTCTTAAAACCCTATAAAAACCTTCCAAACTGAGATAAAAAATAAAAGGAAATAAAAATTAAGAATTAAATAAAAAATATAAATAAAACTAAATAAAAACTAATTAAAGTAATTAAAATATTAAAAATACTAATAAAATTTATATTAAAAATAATATAAAAATGGACTTATCATATTGTAGACACCTAAAATTTATTTAAGTTAATTTAATTATTAACTTAATTATTTAATTAGTCAATTAAATTATTGGTTAATTTTAAATAATTTATTTTGATAATCAATCAAAATATTAAATGGTTATTAAAATAAAATTATTGAATAAATATTGTTACTGCATAAATAAATAATATAGTAAAGTCCAATAAAAATTCGCTAAGCGGACCAATTAAATTAAATATTTGACGAATAAGCCAGACGTTTACATAAGCTAAGTGATGTAGCAACAGTCAATGAGAGCTTGCCAAATGGACCAATCAAGTTACATACTTGGCCAGGAGACTTCCTCAAATCCCTATAAATAGGATGTCTCTCTTCACATATTGGGATACACAAACGCATATGGAGAGAAAGACAGAAAAGAAGCCTTGAAGCTCTGTCAAACTCAAGACTATAAAAAGTCTCTTCCAAGTCTAAAGAACTAAAGTTCTTTCAACTTCAATTCAAGATCAAGTCTATTTGACTCTTAAATTGTGCCCAAAGTTCTTTCTACATCAAATTCAATATCAAGTCTTTTTCTAAAGAACTGAAATGTTCTTGTCAACTTCAAATCAAATCGAAGTCAATGTTGAGTCTTACATTGGCCCAACGTTCTTTCTAACATCAATTCAATATCAATTCTTTTTGACCGTTGAATCTGTTATTCAAATAAAGTCTCTTGACCCTTGATTTTTCAGAGCTTGTCTATATCAATTCAACTTTAAGTCTTTCAACAATTGAATCGTATTTTAAGATCAAGTCCGTTTTCGACCTTCAACTTGTCACGAAACAACAAAGGAAAGAATCACGAGATAGATCTCATTTGTAATAGGAGATTTTCACACTAGATGATTGTATCACTTATATTATCGATTAAATTACGATTTTATATTTTTGTATTTTGTTTCTAAGTTTTCAGAAATAAATTGTTTACGCATATAGATTTCTAAGACACGCCTAGTGGACGAACTCTACCCTGTGGGCGATCGTCTACCTCCCTTCATCTCTTTACTTGTTAATATCTCGAGTTTCGATCAATCAAGCAAAGTGATCAATGGGACCTAAAGAAGTACTGCACCCTCAAAAGCCGCACAACTAGCGTTCAATTCTCTCAAGTGTCAATCTATTACTAACG